GATGATAGTTTGGGAAAAAGCATTACATGCAGGAAAGGCAAATCCATAGCCAGAATAAGTATCAAGGATGGAAGAAGTGGTCTAATGTAGTCAATCTACCACCAGGTTGCTGGCTGGTCACCCCTGGGAATGGTGCCATATCTGGGGCTCAGTGTTAGTCACTGCTGTTGGCAGATCTGGCACTCAGCAGCACCTATAGCCAGGTAGGTCAGCCTTGGTGAGTGGAAGTCCATGTTGTTGACATGCATAACCCCCAATTCTGCCACCCTGGTCACTTTGTTACACTTCTGCATCACTGTTCATCACCAAAGCAAGCCAGTAGCAACATTCCTCCATGGCCTTTGCATCAGCTCCTGCCTTCAGATTCCTGTCCTGACATCCACTGGTGGTGAACAGTGAGCGATGTGGAAGCGTGAGCTGAATAAACCCTTTCTTCCCCAACTTGCCTTTTGGTCTTGGTGTTTCATCGCAGCGATAGAAACCCTGACTTTATACACCCGTCCACAGTCACACACCTCCTTCAAGGTCATATCCCCTAATTCTTCCCAAGTAGTCCCACAAACTGGAACATCTGAGCCTATGGGAGCCATTCTCACTCAAACCACCACAGGTCATAAATTATACTTCTGCCAATTATACTACTTATTTATGTGGGGAGAAATTTTTAGTCTTGATGATTATAAAAACCAATACATTGCCCTACTCTGAAAAATATACCGATGGTGCTGTATATCCTGCAGTATCAAATATCCAGCCAGGACTTAGTGCTTTATGTAAAAACCAACAAGGGCATCATCTCATTAGTACACAAATGTGCTTTCCTCTTCAATCTACGGGAAAATTATATGCATACAGAAGATTCCCTTAAGATAGATTTCTTCATGGTGTGCAATCAACAAACATTTGGTAGACACGATCACTTCAGATTCCTCACACAAAATAAATTTTCACTCAGGCTCACACAAAATAAATTTTGAGTGGTAGAAAATATTGGAGAAGTCCGACCTAGCAAAGAGCCAGAAGTGAGAGGAGCGCTGTCCACAGCTGTGGTCCTGATGTCATGATGCCTGCAGATAGGAGCCAATGGAAATGACTTCTGGACAGAGTTATATGGATTTATGAATGGTAAGTGCACTTCCGAAGCAGTGTCTGGAGCAGTCTTCCTCCTTGTTACATCGTTCACTCCTGCTGCCCCCTGTGACTTCTGTTACTCATGTTATCAGCCCAGCACTCTTTTGGGCCGAGGCGAGAGAAGCGTTTCTCTGCTGTCCTTATTCTCACTATCCTGATGATGCTTTGCTACTCTGTTCACACTGAGCTTCAAAATCAGAAACTTCAGTAGAATGACTTTGCTTTCTTAATGTGCACTAGAATGTAAAACCATAAATTTATACCCTAGTAGTAATAAAATAAGGCACTGGAAATAATAGTTCATAGTTCACTCCTAAATCAGCTTCTGAGCTGTGAACACACTAAAGAGGAACACAACTTTAATCCCTACACTTGGGGGGGGGGGCGGCAGAGGCAGGCAGATTGCTGAGTTCAAAGTCAGACTAGTCTATAGAGAGAGTTTCAGGACATCCAGAGATACAGAGAAACACTGCTCAAACAAACAAACAGTCAAAGACAAAAAGAACAAAACAAGCAATAAATATTTTTTGAAAAAGAAAAGAAAAATAAACATGCAGTCTACACAGCATGTTAATATCATGCAGTTCTTTCATGAAAGCATGCAGGTAAATATCTCATGAAAAGCTCTTGGTAGCAGCACTTCATTTTAGGTAAGTTATCCAAATTCAGTTAGTAAACTTATCATGACAAAAGAAGAAGAGGAAGAAGAAGAAGGAGAAGGAGGAGGAGGAGGAGGAGGAGGAGGAGGAGGAGGAGGAGGAGGAGAAGAAGAAGAAGAAGAAGAAGAAGAAGAAGAAGAAGAAGAAGAAGAAGGAGAAGCAGCTACTCTTAAAGGGCTTAGAGTTAGTTGGAAGGGTATAAAAACTGTCTTTCAAGTTCCAGAAAGAGATATGGGCCCCTTAAGACAATAGAAATTGTATGTGTTTTCAACCATCTTTCTTACTGCTTTGTTTATGACAGTTAAGGGCTGTAAGTCCAAATGTTCTTAATAATGGGGTCTGTTAAATATTTCTGTACAATCAGCTAATGACAAGCTTTGGAGCCTTAAAACAAACAGATGGGGCTGGTGATGTGTCTTGGTGGTAGAACACTTGCCTGCTGTGCATAAGACCTGAGTTCCAACTCCTGACCCACCCGACCTGCGGGTCCTAGTTATTCGTGGGGGCAAGGAGGACCACAACCTGAAAAAAGAACCGGCGGGAGAGAAGAACGGACTCAAGGAAGCATTTGCTTGTCAAGAGTCGTGTATTTGAACGTGAAATGCTTTTTTATAGTATGCTTTACAAGGGGAGGGGGTAAGAGGGGCCAGGTGGTGGAAAAGTACAGAATCTTCTTGGCCTGTGCCTTGAAACATGTCATGGTCTATACGGTACACTGCCTTGAATTATGATCTACCTGCTATTCTTCAGAAGATATGGTACACTGCTTTGAGTTATGGTCTCCCTGCTATTCTTCAGAAGATATGGTACACTGCTTTGAGTTATGGTCTCCCTGCTATTCTTCAGAAGATATGGTACACTGCTTTGAGTCTCTCTGCAGCTGCCAGGCAGGATCTTGCGGTTGCCAAGCTGCAGGGGACATTGTGCAGGTGGGGAAAGATAGGGGGTGAGGGTAAGGGCAAGGGTCCTGGCTTCTGGCAAACTCCAGCACTGCATAAACACACACAATTGTAACCATGTGGTTACCGGTGCAGAAAGCAAGACATACTTTTCATTGTATTTATCCCCTTGCACCATGCACATAAATTTCTAAAATCACACATGAACTTCAAACTTATACCTTCCTACACAACCATGATCATTTGCTCCTAACCTGTTAGGTGACTCCAAAAATTGCTTTTATATGAAATGTGATCTTGAACTTTGAGCAACATTCATGAAAACTCAGTGTCTAACAGGTTAATAAGCCCAAGGCCCTTCACTATTGGCTACATCCCGCTCACGTCAGAAATTCAGAGCCCCCATCCAGAGACACAGGAAAATAGTGGCTGCTTCAGAAGGAAGGAACTTACATGTGGGTTTCTCTATTGTTATCAAGACTGCAACTCTAACATACTGAAAAACAATATAAATTTTAAGTTTATTTTTACATGCATGAGTATTTACCTGCATGAAATATGTATGTTTCATGTACATGTGAGCATGTACTAGTGCTTACAGAGATCAGAAAAGGATGTCAGGTTGCAGGGAATGATAGCTTGTGCGTGGGCGTGGGCTCGTTCTGTTGGGCTGAGTTGTGAGTCCCTGTGCCTTCTGTTCTTTGGGATGCTGGGCTGTGAGAAGCCGCAGGGGAGCCCCCAGGCAGAGAGAAAACTCAGTCTGAAGTTCCGAGGTGGGGGCAGGGGCTCTCGAGTTCCAGGCAGCGGCCAGGGATCGACTGGTCTCAAGCTCTGGAGCTTCCAGACGCCACTGGCAGAATGGAGACTGTGGGCAAGTGACCAGCCTACATGCCAAGAGAAGCGAGGGAGGGGGAAGAGAAGAAAGAGGCCCCAGATGCCCCGCGGGAAGAGATTGGGTTATTATAATCGTTTGGCCGACTAGCTTGTTTGAAGAGGCTGGCCTCCACGGCTGGACCACAGAGAGGTTCTCAGAGAAGTGTGGCAGGGCCCCCCAAAGACACGAGAGGTCTGTGGGTTTTTCAGGCTTTATTTTCATAGTGGATGGTGGATGGATCTGGATGCACCCCCACTTAGGTCAAGGTGGACCTGACTTAAATAGGAGAGGGATGGGAAAGGAGGGTCTGGGAAAGAATACTTAATTAGCAGCTATGCTCTCTGGCCTTTAGGTAACTCATTAATATGGAAATCTCTTGAGGCTGAGGCCTGTAGTCACGCCCTCTACCTGTGGAGGGGATGATAGGAGCGGTTCCCTGTGTGACTGACTGATGGAGGTCTATGCCACGTGTCAGAAGCCTGGATTATGGGAGCATGGCGGAATAGATGCCCGTCCCTCACAGGCATGAACACCTGTTGGGTTTCCGGGCTATTCCCAGCCAGCGCTTCTACCAAAACCAAGCCATCCTATCATAGTCCCACATCAGGTCCTCTGGGACTGGAGCTACAGAAGGTTATAAGCCACCAATCAGATGCTGGGAAGTGAACTCAGGTCCTCTATAAGAACAGCAAGTGTTCCTAAGTGCTGAGCCTTTTCTCCAGACCTCAAATAAAAAATTTTACAGTATATAAACTGTCTCAATAAATCTATTTCTAAAAAGGTTTTAGGAAACAAAATCCACAACGTAAGCTTAATTATATTAAATGTGTAAGAGATAAGCTATACTATTGTAGCCATTAAAACTCTACTATCTAAAAATTTTCTTGTTTAAAAAAAGATTCAAATCCAGTTAAGACTAAAAGAAAAAAATACTCATGCCTCTCCCTAGGAGTTTAAAATATAAATTCAAAGCAATTTACCATCACTAACCCAGAGCAGAAGCACAGCTATTTCTTAATATAGCTGTGGAACTGGAAGTTCCCCTTATTGATGATTTCTGAAGGTAGTCAGGTATACCCACCAGGGTTTGAGCAACCTCTCTGCTGTCAGTGAGTTCACTACTATCACAGGAGAGCACTCTTTAGAAACTGTGCTTGGAACCTAAGGGGGTTGAACCATAGTCAGCTTACTCCACTTTGCTGTGTCAGTCTGAGGGGGTGAAGCCCAGAAACTTGCATCTTCATACAAACTCTCTGAGGTTACTGATATCACCAGGTCAGAGAATTAAAGTCCCATAGACATCACTGAGCCTTCTAGGAACCCCCAAATGGAATCAGAATCCATTAGAGCCCCTTCCCCTTTATGAAACTGCATCATCTTTCACACTCCTAATCACCTAGATAAATCCTAAGTAAAAAGTAAGTTGCAAATGATTTGGAAGTATCCTAGTCTTGAACATGAAGAACATCTTTGAAAACCCTTAATATGTAAAGTAATCTTTGGTCTCTGGTCAAGAGAATAAGTCTCAGGAGTGATGTTTAAATTGAATTTAATTAAATACAAATGCTGCAAATTCCATGAGATAGCCACCACCACTTAGGACTTCACTTCTCTGGCATTTGTGCTTGTACCATTTTAGGCTCACAACAAAGGCAATGTGTAAAGGAACTCCAACCCCTCCCTGCAGTTCCATGTGAGCAGCTAGAATTCAGTTCTGTTCTCCAACTTAGAGACTGCCATGTCCCTTGCACTTTGAGGATGTGGGGGCTGCTCCTCTTTCAGTTCACTTGGGCAACTCTGGTGCTGACTCCGTGGAAGTTGAGCATCGTAGCCACCAACTCTGGAAGATCAAAGTCATGCTTCCAGCCCCAGTCCTTCCGAGCATTGCTGTCATCTAGAATCATGGGCCAGCTCTCAGCTGGGGAAAGACATAGAAAGAACACTGGGTTATCCAGACTCTGGATTTGTGAATGGTGAGATATATTTTATGTGAAGGCAGAGAGGGAAAGCTCATCTTTGACTGGAGCAGAACTAGTACACACAGGGCCACCTCCTCCGAAGAAACTGGGTGAAGGGACTCTGGCCTGGTGAGCATGGCTCTGTCAGGCCTTGCCCTTCTTTCTCCCTATCTTCCTAAAGCTAGCCACCAAGATCTATTCCCTTATTTGGCCAATTCCTCCTCTTGAGGCTGATTACCAAGGTCCAGCTATCAAAGCTCAGAAGTCCAACAAGCAAAAAACCCCTTTGGCTCACCCAATTAAAATTAAACACCTCATCCTAATATGGAGTTTCCTGTTTTCGCTTTATAAACTGCCATTTTCCAATGTGCCATGTTTGTCTCCTCTTTATCCAGAGGCAGTCCTTTGTCTCTGGAGCAAACACCCTTTACCCCTCTCCCTTGTTTATTTTCTCTCCTCTCCCTCGATCCCTTCACCTTCTTCCTCATCCTCTATCTCCTGCCTTTGTCCCTTATCCCTGCCCTCTGTCCTTCTAGGGCAAATAAATCTCCTCTGTGCTGAGAACTTGGTCTTGGGGGTCCTGAGTGGATTCTTTTCATTTCACTGGGCACCTGACTTGGGGTTTCGTGTTATTAAAACCTCACAGAGCTTTGAAAGGGGGTATTCTTATGTCCAGAAGGGTGTTCCAGACCATAGGTAACAGTGAAATGGGGCCGACTGTTTCCTGAGCTGGAACCTTCCTCCCGAGGACCTGTTTTCCACACGGAAGCATCTGCAGATGGACAACCACAACTCCTCAGCCATAAATTCTCCCCATTGGGAGTGTGTACTCACGAACCCTATTTTGAGATAGAGTGAGTGGACTGGCTTGTGGGCCCACCTATAGCCTGTCGAAGGGGATCCACGCAGTAGGTGATCTGGAAGTTAGGCGCGTGCTTGCGAAGCGCCTGGGCCAGCTCTTCGGGGGTGAAGCTCATGGCGCCAATGTTGTAGGTCCTCATGGACAGGCGCTCCGCAGGGGCTTCCATGACTTCCAGGGTGGCCCTGAGGCAGTCACTGATGTACATCATCGGGAGCCTGGTGCTGGCCTCAAGGTTGCTCTCAAATGTGCCAGTTTTTGCTGCAGCATGGAACATCTGGACTGCGTAGTCTAAAAGAGAATCCCGGCCCATGGGTTTCCTCAGTAGGAGGGAGGACTGAGATGCAGTTCTCCAGTCCTCTTAATACAGAACCTTTTTAGACTACTAAAAATGTTAAGTTCCCAAGAAAGATCTGAATAGATGGGCTACATTAAGATTTACTGTTATACACAGGTAAATGAGAAGCTTTTTAGTTACTGCATTTTGGGGGCCAAGGAGATAAACACACTTTACTTTCCAATCTCTCTTGAAATACAAGGAAACTAAGGCAGTTTCTGGACTAAGCAGGTCTCCCTGAAACAAGAGAAATTAAAGATGAAGGAGACTGGTGATAGCACTTACCAGTTGTTCCTCCTCCAAGCTGGGAATCTGCAGAAATGATTCCAGGATATCTCAGGCACCGGAAATCTAACCCGTACCGGTAATAATAGTACTAAGAAAAAGAAAGAGCTGGCTAAAGAAACAATAATAACCCTGCAGATCAGATAAGACAACAGTAGCTTTTTCCTAAAATGTCTTCACATGCAGTTAAAGTGTCCCTCAAGAGAATGAGCATTTGGGGCCTGGAGGAGGGTGGCTCAGTGGATAAAGGCACTTGCCACAAAGCCTGGTGACTTGAGTTGGGTCCTTAGAACCAACATAAAAGTGGAGACTCCATAGTTGTCCTCTGACCTCCACACACATGTTGTGGTACATCCGTGTGTGAATATACACACACACATGCACAATCACAATTTTTAAAAGAAAGAAAATGAGATTTCCAGAATTTCTACGTTTTTCACTTTTGTTTAAAAACAGTATCTAAGAATCACCATCTTGGTGCTACATCAACACTGCAAATGATAGAGCAGCCTGCAGGTGGCGCTTCTGCTCACTGCCGTGAGTACTACAGGCTTGCTTCCTGGCAAGAAAGGAGTTTGATGTCCAGTGCCTAAAGGACTAGGCACTGACTACAAGTGTACTATAAAGTCAGAGTAAAACCATGGTTGAAGTTTTCCACAGTAGAAAGTTTCTGGTCTAGAAAGATGACTCAGTTGATAGAGTGCTTCTGGGACAAGCATGAACAGTTAGATTCTCTAGAACCCACTAAAGAAAGCAGGCCACAGCATGTGGCTGTAATCTAGCACTAAGAAAGTCAGACAGGATCCCAAAGGCTCAATGCCTGTAAGCCTAGTCTTGTTTCAGGTTCCAGTAAGAGACCCCGTCTCAAAATTTAAGGTGGAGAGGAATTGAGAAAGACACCCAACTTCTGGCCTCCACACACATGAGTATATACACTTGTTTGTTCCCCACATATATTCTCTCCTTCCCTCCCTCCCACCCCCTCTCTGTCTCTCTCATGCAGAAAGTTTTAACACTCACACAAGTAACCTCAGTGTTGAGAGCCTTACAGACAAGATAGGTAGCAAGCACAGACAGGAACAGTGTCAAGGCCAGAGTGTCCAAAAGTGCTGTGTGTTACGACTGTGGCTGTGGACAAGGAGCAACCAACTTATAGCTAAGCTGTTCTTCAGTGCCTACAAGTGGCCTACCACCTGACAAACACACCAGTAAAGTAAGCATCTCTAGGCTGCAAATGTTTCCCTAAAAATGAAGCAGGAAGTGTCTGAGGCAGAAAGAATGGAGCCAGGCACACAGAATCATCTGGTCCTGAAAACTGAGCAATCTTGCCAATTGCCAAGAAATGCTTACTTCTCCCATGAGCTCCGTATGGACCTTGGATACTCCATAGATGGTCGTAGGCCTTTGAATACAGAGATCAGGTGCAGGGTTTCGAGGAGAGGTAGGTCCAAAGGCTCCAATCGTACTGGGCACAAACAATCTCACATTGTATTCGGCTGCAACATCTAGAATGTTATGCAGTCCTGAAATAAATAGACACTATGAAAATCTGAAAATAAAACTTCTGACCAAGAGCTGGAAAAAGTGGCCCCTTTGGGCCAGAGCCAGCTGCTCACCAGTTATATTCACATCTCTGGCCAAGGACACATTCGCTTCTCCCACGGCACTTAGCAGGGCACTGTAGTGAAACAGCCAGCTGATACGGTGGTTCACCACAATCTCACGAAGGTTCTTGTAATCCAAGACGTTGGCATAAACAAACGGGCCTGTAATCACAGAGTGACAAAGGCTGCATGCAGTGAAGAGCTAAAAAGATTCCCTGTCCCCTGCCACTGACGAGAAAATCTCATTCTCATTTTCTCTCACCCTCCCTCCCCAACCTTCCTGGAGCAGAACCTGGTTAGGTAGCCTAGACTGGATTGGAACCTTGTGGTCCTCCTGTGCTAGCCTTCTGAGGACTGGGTTAACAGACATGCAGCCATGTCTGCTTTCTTAGAATTCTTTGTTGTTGTTGGTGGTGGTGGTGGTGGTGGGTGTCTGTTTATCCAGGTGTCCATAGGGGCCAGAAGATGCTGAAGTTATTGGTGTCTAGTGCTTGTAAGTGAGTGCATGTACCCCTAGATCCTTAAAGAGAGTCTTGAATCCTCTAGAGCTGGAGTTACAAGTGGTTGAGCCCCACCTGATATGGGTGCTGGGAACCACACTTGAGTCCTCTGAAAGAGCTCTTAACCACCGAGCCATCTCCCCTCTCCATCTCCCTCTTCAAGCTCTTTTCCTCATCAAATAACTTAATTCTTGTTTGTGGGCTCTTTAAAGTCAGTCAGCCAAAAACTCGAAAGATAGGAATCAAAAATTTTAGTTCAAAGACATTATTTTAAGTATATCAAAGTATATTACTCTAAACTTCAGGTTCCATAGAACCCTCCTACTCTTTGACATTTGAACAGAACAGCATTGAAAATACACTTTTAAGTCCAGACTATGCCCTCTTTGGGTTGCAGAAGGACTCCTCGAGCTTCCCCTTTGAGAGTATTTTGAATAGTAAAACATCAAGGACCATCTATATCTTACCACTATGGAAGACATGAGCAGGGGGCTTCTTTATGTCTGATAGAATCACATTGTCTTTCCCAAATCGTTTCCTGTAGGGAAAGAAAGCCCACCACCCCCAACAAGTCAGCAACATCAAGGATACAAGTCTTAGGTAACTGATTGCTTCAAATATTCAAATTGCTGCAACTCCTGGGCCTTCCTTACTACCATGGTCAGAAGTCTTTCAGCTTCGCCTCCCTGGGTTCACACCTCTTTTTCTTCCTACAGCCTGTTCTCTCCATCTGTCCCCTCCCCTACTGTACTGCCACCAATGCTATCTCCACATCTTTGGCACCTCCTCCTCTGCTTTATTCTCTTGCCCTGCTGTCTTCAACCCCAGAGTACCCCCTTCCAGCTCCTATAAGCACTGGCCCCTGCCCTCTGCTCCCAAACAACTGAAGGGTAGGTGGTTCATTTGGTGATGACTCTCCCAGTACCTAAGTCAGGACCAAGAGCAAAGAGCTGGTTGTCGTGCCAAGGAGGCAAAGTAAAACGTGTTTTACACAGCCAGTTAGGTGTGATGCCTTAGATGGAAGCAGAGAGAGGCCAGAGGCAAAAGAAAAGATAGCCAGTGTTTAGAGACAACTTTACACCCTTAAGAATTTGATTTTGAAAGTCTTACCTCAAGAGGTTAGCAAGTCCTACTCCCAGCTGGCCAAGACCCCCTAGGTGAAGAAGAAAACAGGGTGAGACCAGACTGCAAATCTATCCTAAGCATAACAGTGGAATAAGACTCCTCCTGTCAGAGTGAGTTGAAGCAAGGTGGGGAGACGGGGCGGGGCGGGACAGGGGTGCTGGGGTGAGGGGTGAGGGGGCAGGGCAGTGTTGAGCTGATGCAGTTGCTGCAGATTACTCTCAGCAGCACTCTGGTTCACTCAGAACACAGGAGAGCCACTGCCTATCGTGGACTGCTGTCAGTGCAGGTGAGTTTTGGAAGTGCCCAAGAAGAAGAGGGAAGCAAGGACACAAGAAAGTAACATTCATACTGGGCCCAGCTCCAAAGAGGAGAAAGCAAGAGACCATTTCACAAAAGGACAAGGGACAAGCTGGTGTGGTCGTATATACCCTTTAATCCCAGCACTTGGGAGGCAGAGGAAGGTGGATCTCTTGAGTCAAGGCTAACCTGGGACAGCCAGAGCTACAAAGTAGACAGATCCTGCCTCAAAAATAAAATAAGATAAGATAAAATAAACTCAGTGAGGAGCCACTAAAAAAGAAACGATACTAGCCAGGGACTAGGAACACATTTGGAGGAGGACAACTGTAAAATTCAGGGGAGACACTTAAATGGCAGGAAGAACAGTGAGACTCCCTGCCAGTTAACACAGGACTGAAACCCAGAGGCCCTAGAGATCCCTCCCCAGTGCAGACAGAGAATGAAAGAAACCCACAGAGAACAGGTTAGGAAAGGAGTGAAAACATGGCAGAGGAAAATGTGTCAATCAAATGAGAGGTTGTCTCAGGCTGCTTGGAGCACCCTGTCGGTGACAATGTGGAGTCTATAGTAAAGAGGGGTGGGCCAGGCACTCAACGCAACAAGAAGCATGGCAGTGCTTATATACCGTTTAGTTTCCAGCACATAAAAGTGCAGTAATGGGGGGCTGGAGAGATGGCTCAGCGGTTAAGAGCACTGACTGCTCTTCCAGAGGTCGTGAGTTCAAATCCCAGCAACCACATGGTGGCTCACAACCATCCGTAATGAGATTGGATGCCCTCTTCTGGTGTGTCCGAAGACAGCGACAGTGTACTCATAAATAAAATAAATAAATAAATCTTTAAAAAAAAAAAAAAAAAAAAAAAAAAAAAGTGCAGTAATGGTTTGTGATGGTTGTGATGGGTAATTCTGAGCTTAGGCTGGGGACTCTGGCCAAGAAAAGATGCGCCTATGAGAAAGAGGTGTTCTAGAACTGGTACCCTTCCTGTCCATCCAGCTTTGCTGCCCTGACCTATTACATATAATATGGAAGAAAACCAAGTTCCAGGGTAGCTGCTTGGTCCCTGCGTCCATTCAGAAAATAAGATTTTGTTAGGGAAAGCAAGCCTAGGCAACAGTTATGAGTAAGGGAAGCTAAAGATGCAGGATGTCAGCCAGAACCACACCATTTTGTACGCTCCTCCATTTTAATTGAGCCAGGAGACTAGGTGTTAGACAGGCTACCTGGTATGCAGACTGATAGGGAGAAAGGCTGTGACTAACAAAGATGGTGAATTTTCAAGATAGCTGGCTTCTTCTTCTTCATTTTCCTGACCCCAGACAAAAACCTAGCAGCTTAAAACAAAAGGCCTCGTGGGCTTTTCTTCCACCAGTAGGGCCCTTGAAGATGGGCCTGACTCAGCAGGTTCAAGGCCAGATCAGGACTCAGTTACCCAACAGTTGTGGGCCAATCAGTCTGTTTTTCTTTAAACTGGTCAACTCCAAAATAGGAAAGAAAACACTTGAGAGCCTTTAAAATCTCCAGCCCTTGGGCTAAGTGACTAGACTTCTGGCTTCAAGTGCCCCTCCTGTTCTCTCCCTACTTTGCAGGGAGTCCTTTTCTCTGTGTGTCCGACCTGTATGTGTCTCCTCACCCCTAACAAAAGCCTGTCTTCAGCTGCTCCCTGTTGAGCTCAAGAACTTTTCCTGCCTTTTAATTCTTTAACTGGAAGAGAAAAAAACCCTATCAAGACCCCTTGATGGTAACAAAACTACAATAATTTGGTTTCAGGACTAAGGTAACTTGTTTTTCTGGATTCCTGCCCTCCTCATCCTCATAGATAATTAAGAGACATCTCAACTGCAAGCATACACTATGGGCATCAACTACACAGAATAGAATCTTTCCCATCCCCTGAAACCTGGAGGAAGTCTCCCACTATGCCGTTTATGCCAGAACTTTCCTCAGAGCTCCTGCTATGCTGCTGTTTCCTCATCTACAGTGTTAATAATTCTTCTGAGAAATCTCTTACCTCAAAAGAACAATCCCTTTGAATTCAAACTCAGGTCTTTTCAAAAAAGGCTGTGTCTGATCAGAAAAGGGTTGTCACACAAGGAAAAGTACTTTATGATGGCATGCCTCACTCAGAGACCTTCCTGCAGTGCAATCATTAAATCCAGCTCCGGTGTTCTTCATAGCCTGCTCTGATATAGCATAGCACACTCCTTGTCACCAAGAAGCAGCTCGGAGAAAGCAGGGCTCATCCCACAAATGAGAAGGAGAGAAACAAACCTGTGATCAAGACCCGAGGAGGCTCTGCTTCTGAGAATGAGGTGGAGTGGAAGTTGGCATCTGCTGGGATTCGGTGATGGGCGGTGCCTAGAAACTGCAAGGGCAAGACAAGCTTCCGGCAGCTAGAGGCTTTGCTCCGTGCTGTCCTGCTGACTACCTGTTTTAGCATCCCAAGGGACAGCATCTGTTCTTCTGATACCCTGGGAGCAAGGAAAGATGGAGTCTATTACTAACTTTACATCCATTTGGCCCCTGGAAACAAGCTACCCCCTAACATCACACTCCTGTTCAGGAGCAACACCTTCTTTTGTGATTCAGAAACGCATCAGATTTAACCAATGACTTTCATGTGGGAAGCCAGTCATGTGCCTGCTTTGAACCAGGCCCAGTGACAAAAGGATAAATGTTCTCACAAAGCCTTAGCTGGAAGAATTCCTGAAACCAAGTCAGATGCAAATCTACAGTGGGGGGGGGGGGTCAATAAAGCGTAACCAACAAGCACCAAACAACAACAAACCCAAAACCAAAAGAAACCAGCCACCAGATCTGGTGAGGGCTTGCAATCTTGACTACAGTCCTATCAACCTGTGCACAAACACCACCTGGAGGGGACAAGCAGGTCCCAGACTAAGTAGACGAGCATTGACAATCTGCACTAACTCTTCAGATGTTATGTTTGGAATAAAACAGACTAGGAAAGCAGATGGCTAAAATAAAAAGGCCTGGCAATATTTAGTAAGCTGTGAACAGCCTTTGTTTGACTCCCACATCCTTTGAAAGGCTCATTTTCAAAAGCCATTTTCCAAGTGCTTCCAAGACCACAAATGTGCAAATACTTGCCCTCTCCTCTTTCTCCTCCCTTCACTACCAGTTGACAGTAGAACCTTTTTTTTTTTTCTTTGTCTCAAGAGGTTCATACACTTAGAACTTGTGTCCATGCTGTGAACTGAAAGTTCCCAGGAGGGGGAAAAAAAAAGGAGGCAAGGGCGGGGCAGGCACACCCACTGTTACAGACTAACTACATAGACAATTGACCAGTTAGAACAGGTAATTGTGAAGAATTGAAATGTTTACATTCACCTTGGGTTAACCTTGGTCTCTGAAATTGTCACCTGTTGCCCACCACCGAGTCTAGCTTATTGTGACTTATCATGTAAATTCTTTCAGACTGTATTAGCAGACTACTAACTCCCATCAATCCTAAAGCTAACATATCCGAAACATAGCAAAGGTGTTTCTCTGCTTTGCTCTAATCCACTTACCTTATGTTTCCATCAATGGGTTTAAAAAGTGCCTTGATTTAGGACATTTTGTTCTGTAATGACTTAACTGTTTCCCTCCAAATGTGAGTATATCTGACCCAAGAACACAGGTTGAGGTACCCCTAAATAATGTTTCACGGCTGTGGGCAATAAAAGGTTACCAGCTTGAGAAAACATTTGAAAATGTTATGAGTCATGGGAGGGGTGATTTTTTTTAAGTGTGAAAAGTTCAGGTGGTTAGAACTCCAGTAGCTGCTGGTGGGGCAGGGGGATGCTCTACAGAGCAGCTGAGGCCCTTCATCCCAGCTGGCTCAAAGGGAGCCTGGAAGACAGCCTTCCTGTTATAGGCACATCATTAGCTTCACAGCGTCAAGATCAGGGATAACCAGTGTTGGCCCCTATACACGGAATACAGGGAACATCTGAGACTCTCCTTAACCACTCTCAGAGGGATGCTGTTGGAAAAATCCTCCCTGCAGCAAAGACCAGGTAAGAACTCAGATCTTTTCAGTCACTTATCAGCAAGTTCAAAAGGAGACAGAGGAAACCTCAGAACCATTGGATTCCCAAAGGCGTTGAAAGTCAAGGACAAATTCCAATTCCCAAAAGCACAAGAACGACAAACCCCCCCCTTCCCCAAGCAGCTGACCTACCTCAGTATCCTCCTCAAGGAAGACACAAGGAGGTGCCTGATGGGTTCTTAGCCAAAGACCGAATGTTTTACCCAGGCAACATATACTTGTGCTGGCTCTTCTTAATCTACCAGTAGCCAGTATCGGTCCTCCCTGCATGCCACAGGCTAGCAGAACTGCCCTGATCTGCTAGGTTTTAAGCCTGCTGCCCTGCTCTCCAGCTGGAGGATCCATTATGAGATAGCTTTAATGTGGAGACACCAAGTCAGACCAACAGAGTCTTCTACCCACAGTGCAGCTTTTCCAAGTAAAGACTACTGTCTGGCTACTGCCCAGTTCATCTCAACACAGCCAAATGCTGCATAAAGCCATCTTGCTCCACGGTAGGCCACGGAACGATAATTCCATGACATGGTGAAGGGATGTAGTAATCAACTAGGTGAGTAGTGGAGTTTCCTACTGATGTGTTTCTTGTGTGTCTCTACTGTCCTGGAACTCACAGAGATCTGCCAGCCTTCCAAATCTGTGGTATCACACCCAGCCTCCTTTACACCTTTAACAACTGTGGAATGAAAGCCAGGTGTGGTGGCATACAAACCTTTAGTCTCAGCTCTCTGGAGGTAGAAGCAAGCAGATCTCTTTGTCAGGGACAACCTGGTCTACAAGTTTCAGGACAGCCAGAGCTACACAGAGAAACCCCGTCTTGGAAAACAGACAAAAAACTGTGGACTGAAAAGTTTATGTGAATAAGATCATCTATCTATTTACTGTATTAAACATTGCTAAAGTATATATATATATATAATTCATATGAGTACACTGTAGCTGTCTTCAGACACACACCAGAAGAGGGCATCAGATCCCATTACAGATGGTTGTGAGCCACCATGTGGTTGCTGGGAATTGAACTCAGGACCTCTGGAAGAGTCTCTTAACTTTGTGTGTGTGATGTCTGTAACTGTTAGAACCAGTACACTCACTCACATGTGTGTACACACCTGTGTATGGAGGCCTGAGATCGAGGCTGGGGATCTTTCCTCCACTACTCTCTCCACCTTAAATCTTTGAGAAGGAATCTCTCACTGAGCCCGAATGTAAGGAGCAGGCCCTTAAACAGGACATACTTCATTTTGTAATAGGAAACTTGTAGAGACTAGTCTGGTACTTGTAAAGGCAAGGCTGGAAATGAAGCTGTGCTGCGTAACAGACACGAGTGGTTAATCTGCCGTGTACGTCAGAAGTAACGCCAAATCAAACATAAAAGAGGACCCGATCGATCAGAGCACTTCATTCACACTTGTAGCCATGACTGGCCAATGTGATCCTCCGGACAAAGCCTCCTCAGCACCAGGTCATCAAAGAGTTAACCGAGAGACCAAAGCCTCCAGCTTCTTTGTGGTCAAGCACCCTGCGAGGTCAAATTAACAATTCAACTATCTGGAAGTTGCACCCTGGCCCCCCCCCCCCCCACCTTCCTTGATTCCGGACCTGCTGTAACCCAAAACCATCAAAAGGACTCAGGTCGTATAATCCAATGAATGATGTGTTTATTGCTATGCTTATTCCTTTGGTAATTTACAATTATTTGTGTTTATTGTGCAATTGTTAGAGGCAATGCATAGGAAATGTGGCAATATCTTGTTGTAGCAGTCCTTAGCATTTGTGTTTGTGATTGCTTGCTGTGAATCATTAAAGAAGTAACTGAATCCCCAAACCTCTGTCTCTTGGCGTATTCTCTCTTCCCTCTCGAGGAGCTTAAGATCTCACTGTCAAATTCAGCATAGGATCCCTGAGTGGAACAGGACCTGTTGATCCTCACCCAGTGGGGGAATTCTTACCCCTTGTCAATAGCCTGCTCATGACAGATAAGAGTCCCTGCTGGAGACATTCATCAACTCTGCTTGTCTGGCTAATGGATTTCAGAGTTCTTCTTGTCCCCCACCCCCCACCCCCAGCATGGAACAGGAAGTATAGATGATCTGCATCATGCTTGGTGATCTCTGTAGGTCTGAATCAGATTGGTCTTCATGCATGCATGACAAGCAATTCACAATAAAATGGAGCCACCTCTCATCTTTTAATCCTCCTCAAAGGCAGCTGCATGAGGGATCTGACACACTGTCACTGCGCACCTTACTGTTCTGCCTCCTGAGTGCTGGGATCTGAAGGCATGAACCACTATACCCATCTCTATCTGACACTTTCGTATAATCTCTTAGCCCCATATTTCACCTCCATGCACTGGACTTTTGGAAAATTGTTGGCTTGGTGAGTTAAGAATGTCTTCCAAGTAAACATTAATATACTTCCCTCTGCAGGGTGAAAGTCACATTGGCAAATGCCACAAACTCCTAGGTGTGGGCAATGAGCACCTTTACCTGTTCCTTGGCAGCAGCAGATTTCTTTCTTCATTTTTTAGATTCCATCTTCCAAATTCCTAAGTATGAATATCCATGTTGTCAGTCCTTTCAAACAGAACTAATGTTCTGTCAGCAAGAGTGGATGGTCCAGCTCACACTTCAGTCCTACAAATGCTTTACCACAGATAGCATCACATTTGATAGTAAGAGGGGAGCTTTATGGGTGCTTCCGGTCACCATCCAGCATCCTGTAAAGACCTGCATTCAGAAGCCAAGGCTTCAGGAAATCAAAGGTTCTTAAGGAAGCAGTAAAAGTGATTACAGCCAGCATTTTATGTTTGTTTAAACCAGCTAGGCAAGTGCTGTATCACAGGCCTTGTCCTTCAATTCTTTCTTTTAAAGACATATTAATTTAGTGTGTGTGTGTGTGTGTGTGTTAGCATAGACTGGTAGAGACTTGACTGTGTCCTGAAGTATGTTTTTCCTCACAAGTGGATCAATTTGCAGTGGTGGCTGCATTCACCATGCTGCTTGTGTGCTTATTAGTCCATGCCAGATCAGTCACAGGACTCCTAGTAGATGGTTGGAAATAAAATAGTTCAAGTGTTGAGCTGCCTTTCCACTTTCTGTGGATCTGGGTGAGCGTGTGTTGTTGATTCAGAGGAGTCAGGGCCTGCTGGTGCTTCTGCGCCAATCGAGTCCATGCAGCACACTGCCAGGGGTCACTGTATTCCTGGTGGCCATATGCTGCCAGTGGGAAGTTGAAGAGATGGCTCAGCAGTTAAGACCATTGGGAGTGGAAGTGCTGTGATTCCACCTGGTCTCCTTTCCTCTCAACAAGACATTACTCTGCTGCTTCCATACAGTATAGTTTGATAATCTGTCCTGTTTGATGCTTAACCTGGTGACCCATCCAGTTTGATACTTCAACGACAATTTATTCTAGTTTCTAGCCTGAAAACCTAATAATTTGGGACTTTTGATGAGTTTTCACTATCTAGTTAAGACCTTCAAGTCACACTTGTCAGAGGACTCTCAATGGCTTGTCTTGACATTGTGCCCTTGATGTCACTACATTATTTAGAATGGTGGGCTGGAAGGAGATCCACAGGGAAGCAGGAAGCCGAGGGGCACTTCCAGTCATGCCCTTTTCTCTGGACAAACTCCCCGTCATGAGTCTAGAACCTGTCTCAGAGTTGATGCTCACATCAGCCTTCCCAGCACTCATGGGCACAGATGGGACTGCCAGCTGCGGGCTGGAAGGTCAAGTTCTCTGTTAACCCCTGACTGACAAGCCAATCATTCATTCTTTAGCATAAAAATATACGAATGGGAAGGAGCTGGAGAGATGGCTCAGTGGTTAAGAGCACTGATTGCTCTTCCATGGGTCCTGAGTTCAATTCCTAGAAACTAGAACGTACATGGTGGCTCACAACCGTCTGTAATGGGATCCGATGCCCTCTTCTGGCATGCAGGTGTACATGCAGATAGAGCACTCACATCCACAACATAAGTAAATCTTTTAAAAATATGAGTGGATATCCTTATATTGCAGTATTTTTAAATTTCCAGTCACAAATAAGTACACCTGCCTTTTGATGCCTTTCCATGTGGATGTAGGGGAACTTTAATCCAAAGCCACAGAGATTTAAAAAAAAAAAAGGCTTGAAAATGTACAGCAGTGCAAACCACTTTCATCTCTAGAAATGCATAGCTATCCCCAAAACCTGAGGCTTACAAGACTCTAGAAATACAAGACTACTCCAACACACCTCTCATTAGCTACCAGAAGCCAAACTTATACATTGTCTGAGAAACCCTTAGTGCACTGGGGAGAAAATGCAAAGAACAACATTCTTCCTCCAATGGTTTGACCTTGTGGACTCTACAAAAGGTCTCGGAGATCTCCAGGGTTCCCCAGATCATACTCTGAGAACAGCTTTTGCTGGGCCAGAAAGTAAATTTGCAAAGATCAAACAGCGATCCTTGGTCCACCCGGCTCATTCATGTTACTTAAAAAAAAATTATAATGCCGGGCAGTGGTGGCGCACGCCTTTAATCTTGGATTTCTGAGTTTGAGGCCAGCCTGGTCTACAAAGTGAGTTCCAGGACAGCCAGGGCTATACAGAGAAACCTTGACTCGCAAAAAGATAAAAAAAAAAAAAAATTAAATAAATAAGATAAAAAAATTTTATCAGGAAAGGCTGGAATTTACGTACTGGTCACTTAAAGCAAGAAAGCTTCAGAAGCAAAACAAAACAAACAAACAAAAAAAGAAAAGCTGGGCAGTGGTGGCGCACGCCTTTAATCCCAGCACTTGGGAGGCAGAGGCAGGCGGATTTCTGAGTTCGAGGCCAGCCTGGTCTACAGAGTGAGTTCCAGGACAGCCAGGACTACACAGAGAAACCCTGTCTCAAAAAACAACAAAACAAAACAAACAAACAAACAAAAGAAAGCTTCAGAAGGGAGCTACTTACTGTCTCGGAGGGAAATTCTACCCACATCGTGTCCCACTTTCACCTGCTGAGGTTGGGAAACCACTTCAGGGGCAACCAGCCTCAGCTTGCTCCCTGATGAAAAGGGTGTGGTGACCCTCCCAAGCCATCTTTCGGGAGGATAACATCCCAGATTACTAGACAAACCAGTTTTCTGGGAGCCGCGTGCCCACTCCTATTCCTGAAGGTTGAGCACTGCTAAGAGCAGGAGGGAGCAGGCGGCCGCTTGCCACCTGGACTGCGCAAAGGACCATCTCTCCCCTCGCGATCCACAAAGCAGTGGCGCCCTACAGTCGCTCGGGACCCCAACCCAGACAGCAGACTTCGCTGGTCGACCCGCGCTCCGAAAGAGGTCCAATTCCCGGGCTCAGGCGCGACAGAGGACGCGTCGGACCATCTCCTACACTGACCTGCAGACGCAGAAGACTGGATGCTGAGAACGCCACGCGGGAGCCGGAGCAGCACGTGAGGACTCTAGAGTTTGGTTCTGCCTTTTATCCTCTCTTGGCTCTGGACCCGCCTCGCGGCGGGAGCCGCCCCCCTCCACCTCACCTCCACCCCAGGACGCTTGTGGCAAGCCCACACCTACATCTGGGACAGAGCTGACCTTGTGGCTGCACCAGGACGCTGCCACTCCCCTTCCACAATTGACAGGGGTTATATTTGGGAGATGCAAGTTACAGCTGGAAAGGTCTGCGGCGGACCTGTGTCTGGTGGCACAGCCGCCAAGAGGCAGGCACTTAGTAGTTTCTGGTTCCTGGGAACTTAGTGGTTTCTGGTTCCTGGGAACACTGATGTTTAATTAAGTGGCTTTCAAGGCAAGGACTAAGCAGGATAGGGCAGCATCTCAGAAGGAAGGTCTTAGAAATTCTGAGTGGCAGCCTCAAGCCAGATTCCAGCGCACCCGACCTGATCTGGAGCTGCAAAAGGCCCGGTGTGAGTGTATCTCCTTTGGCAGTCCAATATTTTAGTCCTGCTCGAGCAAAAATATTTCACATCTAATTACAGGAGGTGAGGTAGACCTGAGCCACAGCGTGCCTGTGGAGGTTGGTAGACAATTTGCCAGGGCCTCAGAGATTGAACCCAGATTGTCAAACATCTTTATCACTGAATTCTCTCTCAAGCCACTACCTGGAAGTTGGACTTAGGGGCCTGAAGTTAAGTTTCCCGGGAAGGGTTGGAGGGAGACAGGTTGGCAGCACCAATGTTAAACATTTCCCAAGGCTGATTGACTTATTAACTGATAGTGGGAAGCCAAACTATTACAGGTTGGGAGCCAAAACTATCTCCACCTATCTTAGCCTCTAGATAGCCATTTATTGCCCACCCCTTTGTTTGACCTAACGTCCTTGTGACTATTAGGTAAATCCTTTGGGAATGTACAAACAAGACCCCTAGCTTCCAACAACCCTGTGCTGGTTAATTTTTCGTCAACAAGACACAAGCTAGACTTACTGGGGAAGAAGGAACCTCGATTGAGAAATTGCCTCCATCAGATTGGCCTGTAGGTAAGTCTGTGGGGCATTTGCTTGATTAATGACTGATGTGGCAGGACCCGGCCCACTGTGTACACGGCACCCCTAGGCAGGTAGGCTTGAGTTGTGTAAGAAAGAAGGCCAAGCAAGCCAAGGGGAGCAAGCCAATAAGCAGCACGTTCTACCATGGTCTCTGTTTCAGTTCCTCTACTGGCTTCCCTTCATGATGGACTGTAACAGAGGTTCTCAACCTGTAGACTCTTTGGGGTGTGTGTGTGTCAAATATCAGATATCCTAGATATCAGATATTTACATTAGGATGCGTAACAGTAGCAAAATTACAATTATGAAGTAGCAACAAACTAATTTTATTGTTGGGGGTCCATAACACAAGGAACTGTATTAAAGGGTTACAGTATTAGGAAGGTTGAGAACCACTAACTATGAGCTGTAAAATGTAACTAATCTTTTTTTTTTTCCCCCAAGTAGCGTTTGGTCATGGGGTTCATCACAGTAATAGAAGCAACAAGGACAAATCCAAATAAGAATGCTTCAGATAATGTCCGAGGGCTGTAATAGCTACTTCCTGTCTTCACTGCTATGGCTGATCTGATGTTTCCATCCATGTATTTTAAAATGTCTTAATTTGAGCTGGAGAAATGGCTCAGTGGTTAAGAGCACCAGCTGTTCTTCCATGGGATCTTTATTGATTCCCAGCACTGACACGGTGGCTAAGAATCATCTGTAACTCCAGTTCCAGGGGATCCTACACCTTCTTCTAGCCCCTAGGGCCACCTGGTATACCGTAATACACAGACATACACACTGCAAAACATCCATATACATAAAATGATTTAATTGTTTTAAGTCTAAAATTTATGATTTTGTTATAAAAACTTCATGAAACTGTTGCCATGTTAGAATATGACATTCAGGGTCACCTGATTGTGTTTCCGGTCCATGGATTTTACATCTGGCTCCAGAAGGAACTTCCTCCCCATTTTGAGAGCTGTGTTTTCTGTGTCAGCATGATCTCACATGTGTTCCTCTTCCCAGTGTGGTCATGTTGAATAACTCTCTGTCTCTGTCTCTGTCTCTCTCTGTCTCTGTCTCTGTCTCTCTCTGTCTCTCTCTCTCTCTCTCTTTCTGTCTCTCTCTCTCTCTCTTTCTCTCTCTGCTATTCACTATTATCTGTCTCTTTGGTAAGTATATTGAGAGTATGTGGCCATGCCTAGCTTTTCTGGGGTACAGGCCCAAAAGCTCCAGTAATCAAGAGGTTTCTAAGTAGTAGGGGCTTGATATGAACAGTGTGATCCCAGAGCAAGTATCAGGTCCAAAACAAAGTTGAGGAATCTGCCCTGTAACAAGACCTGAAAGGTCCATGGGCCCCATAGCTGTAAGGTCTCTTCCAACATCCCTGAAGTGATAAGGGTTGGTTGTCCATGTGCAGAAATGCCTACTAGGTCTGAATCCTGACTGGTGACTAAAAGACTGTGAGAGAGCCATATTGGGAGCACCCTGCTGGTGGCTTCCTGGCTTCAGAGCCACAGGCTTTGGTGCCAGACTGGCTCTCCAAGTCTGTCCCTGCCTTGTATCCTGTGCTTTTTGGTCAGCAAAGTAAGCCTCTGTGAGCCCAGCTTACAGACAGTGGGTGTGATGGTTTGTATATGCTCAGCCCAGGGAGTGGCAATATTAGAAGGTGTGGCCTTGTTGGAGTAGGTGTGCCACCATGGGCATGCGCTTTAAGACCCTCATCCTACCCTCATCCTAGCTGCCTGGAAGCCAGTCTTCCACTAGCAGCCTTCAGATGAAGATGTAGAACTCTCAGCTCCTCCTGCACCATGCCTGCCTGGATGCTGCCATGTTCCCACCTTAATGATACTGTACTGAACCTCTGAACCTGTAAAACAGCCCCAATTAAATGTTGTCCTTATAAGAGTTGCCTTGGTCATGGTGTCTGTTCACAGCAGTAAACCACTAAGGCAGTGGGGGTAGAGTCTGTCACTGCTAGGGTTCAGGCTTTGGCTTTCAGCACAAACCCAGACAATTAAAACATGGATAAGCATCCTCTAGTCCACACTGATCCAAAGCAGCATGGACTGGGAGTGTGGCTCAGCTGGCACAGTGCTCACCTAGCATGCACAAAACTCATGGTGGTGGCACATGCCCTTAATTCTAGCACTAGGGAGATGGAGAGAGAGGAGTCAGATGTTAAAGGTCATTTCAAGTTACATTGGAAGTTCAAGGTCAGCCTAAGCTGAGACTCTGAGTCTTGGTCACTGTTCTATTGTTGTGAATAGACACCATGACCAAGGCAATTCTTATAAAGAACTGAACTGGGGACTTACTTAACGCTACAGAGGTTAGTCCATTCTCATCATGTGGGGAGTATGATAGCACACAGGCAGACCTGGTGCTGGAAAAGTAGTAAGAAGTCTATATCCTGATCCATAAACAAAGTGAGTGGCGGCAGGGAGGGGCATGGTCTCTTAAAACCTCAAAGCCCACCCCAGTGACACACTTCCTGCAATAGAGCCACACCTCCTAATCTTAATGATCCTTTCAAGTAGTGTCAGGCCCTGATGTCTAAATACATAAGCTCTGAGTTTAAATACATAAGCCTATGGGAGCCTTCCTTCCTTCCTTCCCTCCCTCCCTCCCTTTCTTTTTTTCTTTTTTATTCACTTTGCATCCCAGTCATAACCCTCTCCCTTCTCTCTTCCTAGTCCCACCCTTACAAATCTCTCCCTCCATTGCTCCCTCTTCTTTTGTCCAGAGAAGGGGAACCGCCCTTGGGTACCACCCCACCCTGGGGCATCTAGTCCCAGCAGGTCTAGGCACTTTCTCTTCCACTAAGGCTTAACCAGGCAGTCCAAGTTTGGGGGAAGGGGATCCAAAGGCAGGGAAGAGAAAAGAGAGAGAGAGAGAGGGAGAGAGAGAGAGAGAAAGAGAGAGAGAGAGAGAGAGAGAGAGAGAGAGAGAGAGAGAGAGAGAGAGAGCGCACTATGAGGCCATTCTTATTCAAACCACCACACCCTGTCTTAAAACAAATGAACAAACAAATAAAAACAACAGCCAAGAACAACAACAAACAGTATAATGGCTCACATCTTTAATTCTAGCACTAAGGAGGCAGAAACTGGGAGATCTCTGTGAATTCAAGACCAGTCAGGGTTACACAGTACAGCCCTGTTTCAAAAACATGAACAAATTCTCCTCCAGTCTTCAGCTGGTGTACTGAAGGATGTTTCTCTTTCCTGAGTGTTTATAACTATTCCTAACAGTGCATTAAAATATCTAGCTCCAGTTTGTTTCAGATCCACATATGCAGTTAAAAAGCAATGAGCAACACGTGCATGCTGTACCACAAAAAGGAATGGGGGTGTAGTGGGGTGGGGTGGGCTTCCAAGGAATGAAAAATGAACATAGTGTTATAGGGGATAAAAGAGAAATGAGAATGGGAAGGAATTTTTGATCTGAAATTCACTGGCTCTGCCTGGCAGTCACTGAGCCGAGAAACAGATCTTCTTCTGCCTTTGGATTCAAACTATTAGTCCATTTTTCTGTTGCTATAACAAAATACTGGAGAATGAATATTTTATTTTGAAGGGAGAGAGAGAGAGAGAGAGAGAGAGAGAGAGGTTCATTTAATCCACTTTAAAGATTCAAGTGCCTGGCACCAGCATCAGCTTCAGATGGCATTGGTGGCTGAAACACAACCCAGAAGAGAAGCAGCCAAGGAATCACTTTATGCAAGAAACCAAACTTGCTGTGTGGTCTTGCTTCCTAAGAACCAGCTCTTGGAAAACTCACCTGGTCTTCAGGACCAGTACTGATCCCTTCCAAGGGCTTAATGCCTGACCTTGTATAGTACTAGAGCAGGGTTAAAGGTCCCACCATACTGAGGACCAAGCTTCTAGCCCACAAATTTGGGGGACAAACCACAGCGGACTTAAACTGGAACTTAGACCACCTGGTCCTCAGGCCCACACACACTCCACCTAGAACTAAACCCCTTGCTCTCCCACATTTCCAACATGCAGGTTTGGGGACTTCAGCTCCATAGCTGTGGGAGGCAATGTCGTAATCTTTCTCATTCTCCAGAGTACCCTGAGTATTCATTCATCAGTATTCATGGGGGACTTTGAAGCCACCCCTAAGGCTGGCTTGGCTGCTTAAATGCTTGACCGCTCAATCCTTTATATGAAATGGCATGTTTGCATACCACTAACTTACATCCTCCTTTGAATGTTAGATTTTCTCTAAATTTATAGTGCTTAATAAAATATAAAATATAAACAATAAAATATCAATGTGA